TGATTAATCTCCTTCCAAGTTCTGAACTGACCCTGATCACACATTCACAATATGCACATCATAAGATCCACCCTAAATGCAGCACAAGACATAAAAGTCTCCAAGAAGCCACTGTCAATATCAAAGAAAAAAAAAAAAAAACAAACAAAATCTGTTTCTCCAGAACAGCAGCCTTCCAGCCATGACTGCTAGAGCCAATACTTGTTAGAGAATCATGACCTTGGCTCCCATTATGTGCTACAGTCACTCCTTTAAATGAAACCTAGAGTACATTTTCAAATAAGGCTTAAAAGCAGAACTCGAGTCACCTAAGCAGTTTCACCAATATAGCTACACCAGCTAGTGCAGAAAATCACCAAGTCATTAAACCAAGCCTCAGTCTGGTATCAGACAGCAAATCCATCTATGTGAAAACTAAGCTTTAATTCCACAGCCAGGATGACTCTCCCTCCTCCTCCAGTCCATGCACAGAAGCAAACAACACTCAAGGACAAGCAGAAATCCCACTCTGCATCTCCATTTGTCAACACCACTGGAAACCAGCACTGGCTTCTTCCTGAACTGCACAGCAAGAGATGAACCAGAGTTACGTGAAAAGCCAGACAGGTAAGTTAAAAAAAATGGAAATGTGTTTATAAGCAGAAGACACTTCAGAAATTGTATTTATCCTGCAAGGAGGTAGTGGGAACTTTGATCAGTCAGAAAAAGCCAGTATGAAAAACAAGAATTTAAAAATGCATGTCCCTCCAGATTAACACTTTCAGATCTAAAGTTGCTTCAAGTATGAAGGGGTCCATCAATGAGAAGAGCTTCCCAAAAATTACCACAAAATGTATGACTGTAACCAGAAGTGAGAATTTCTGTAGAATCCCAGAACGGTTTGGGTTGGAAGAAACCTTGCAGACCATTCAGTCCCAACCCCCTGCTATGGGTAGGGACATCTTCCACTAGACCAAGTTGCTCCAAGACCTATCCTTTTATTCCACTTTTGAAAAAGGCTGAATTTAAGCAGACCTACAGCCTGTTTATTCAAGGATGTCCAACAGTCCACATTAAACAATGCTCACATAACTCACAGCAGCTTCTTTCAGCACTGAAGCCTCCAAATTAACCAATTCATTTAATTTAATGGTAGGCAGTGGAAAATTTACACGTAAAATGTTGACGGCAAATTCAAACTGACTACTGTAACAACACTGAGGGACAGCCCTTACTGGTCAAATTTTAAAAAATGCATTAGATATTGCAAAATCCAGTAAGTCTGTACAACAAAGTTTTCCTCAGCTGAGAATGCACCAGGCTGCACCTCCTCACTAAGGAGTAGCAAATACCAAGAAAGCCTTTGGTTAATAAGGAATATTCCATTTACACGCACACAACCACCAGAAATCCCATCCAAAATTGCAATACAACAAAGCATTCAATGTCAGGTACCAATCTTTCACTGCTACAGAACTCGGCCACTGACTACAGTGACTACTCATGTCTCTGCTGTTCAATTTACATCATTTTAATCAAGTGGCTTTCCTGAGAAGTCACAGCTACCCCTCCCTATCGTGCAGTCCCAAAGGATTTAAGGGCACCAGGCCATTGACACCTGGCTCCAGTGACAGTCACCCCCTGCAGCCAGGGACCGGCTCCTTCACACATTTAGCAGAGCCAGGCTGGCTAGAATGACACTGCTGGAATAAAGCCTGCAGGGCACAATTCAAAGTTACAGGACAAAGGGGCCAGGACACGCATCTCAGAACATTAACAAGACACCAGAGAAGTCAAACAAAAGCTACTGACAAACGCAATAACAAACACCCTGACATTATTCAGGTACTCGGTACTGCATTCGGCATCTCCTCAACTCCCTCCAACCCCACGTTCCAAGAAATATATAATGAGCCATTACTTTGACAGGACTTCAAACAAAGCTGCTTTCTTTTTTTTCTTCAAAAAGAATTAGAATATGAATGTTTCTGCTTCACCAAGAAATCCAGAGCCTTTTGTGAGCAGATGATGCTACGAGCAGATGTACACAAGCAGATTCACAATAAAGCAGATGATCTCTTCTTTACCAGCCATCTTGACCTGTCTGGCTCGATTTACATAAACTGTTTCTATTCACTACAACATTGATTATGTAAACCTCGGCAAAATCTTAACCAAACACACGCTGCCACATCACTGCCAGCACAGACGTAGCACGGTGCTGGGAGAAGGTTATTAGAAATGTAGAAATGTGTTTGCTGCACCGACCGACACCAAACGCCTCGGGCTTTACTGGGGCTCACATTAAGGCGCAGACTGAGCAATCACAACTATTGCGAGACAATAAGGAACGTGCCCTGATGGCAGAGACACCTCCGGCCAAAAAAAAAGCCTTCCCCTCCATTTACAGGTCAAGGTACAGCAACCACGCTTTAATACTCTGCTAAGACAGAGTGAGAGCAAAAGATAAAGGGAAAGTTTTGTCATCTTAAAAACAGGAGCTCAGCAGTTTGCCAGGTATGCCAATTCCTTTGTTCATCATCCTTTTCACCACCTAATTTAAAAGTCTCACAGTTCAAGACACAAGTTATTCATCAACATCACAATCAAGGCTTTAAAAAAAAAAAAAAAAGAAACAACCCACACAGTGTCTCAAAACAGCTTTTTCCTTTTTTTTTTAAACTAGCTGCGAGGCTGTGCTATCAATTTTAATCAGGCAGTTGTAACAAGAGCTGCAACACTACGCTTCTGCTGGTCCCCAGGTCTCAGTTTCACTACAGGGAGGAGAGCAGATTTACATTGTTTTATTTAAATGAAACGCCAGATTACAAGATTTTAATACAAAACAGGTATTAAGTGTTTTTTTTAGCATACTGAACAGCTTAAGCTGCTCCAAGAGTTCCTAGTCACAAATGTTGAGTCACCAAAGAAAAGAGAAGGATGTTTGCATTATTTATGGAACTACAAACAACATTTAAGACCCCTCTGATAGGACACGCAGTAATCAACTCCTGAAGTGGCAAAGGGCTCTTTAAACAACAACCCTCGGTCTAAAAATTAAAAACTGCAGTTACTCAAGTCATGAGATTTCCTGGACTGCTTCCATCGCGTCTACCTAGCCCTAGAGCACATTGTGTGAGCAGTGCCAGCCCCATTGTTTGAGCGCAGCCACGGAGACACCGTGACCAGAGGGACCCAGCTCCCGTGTACAGACTTCTTGTCCCCGGCTGCACCGCAAGGACACGATCTGTTTGCATTTTCAGTACATCTCACACCTGCAAGGTGCAACATCAGTAGTTTTAGAGAGCGGCGCTGAAACTCAAACAGGACCTAAACGCAGCCATACACGTTTTATTTAGATTTTATTGGCGTGTTTCAACACACACAGTGAAGATCAAGAGCCCCAGCAGAACCGATAAGCCGAGATCAATGCGTCCCCGTATTAAAGGCAAAGCGCACCAGACTTTGCCAGGTTAAGATCAGAGCCAAAACATTTCATACTTCTGTACTTTCAACTGCTGCTAAAAATAGTGAAGCAACAGAAAGGAAAATGCTTCCAGCTGTGCACAAAGAGCCTCTGCAGCACAACATCAATTTATGCACTCTAATTTAATTAAAGATCCTGCATTATACTATGACTTTATTGTCAGAGACAGTGTTGCACAGCTGAGCTCACCCTCCATTGCCAAACTGAAACAGTAAGAACGTTTCTTTATTAAATTTAGTGTGATATGGGTATTTCTCACGAATCAAGGGACTTAAATTCAAGGATTTCAAGTACCAGCTACGCCACGCTCATGACAGCAGTTGTGTTTTATTCCACGGTAACTGCATCTTGACCCAGTCTCGTGACAGGAAACATTCAGCATCCCTTAAGGAAAAAAGGTGCACTACTGGATAGAGCACCCAGCCTGGACTGCTCTTTTTCAAACAGTTCTTCTGTAAAGGGGAACACGGCTCTTTAGGAAAGGATCAAAATAAAACAAAAGCCCCTGAGAAACCAGAGGAGGGTTTTCTACGACCTTGCAGCAAATATGTACCAGATTCTGGGGGAGGCTGAGTAACGCAGCGAGGCTGTGACTGTGCTGCTTGGCGGCTGCCTCCAAACCTCTCCGTTGTGTTTAGCACTGAAAAATTACTCCATTAACCATACGTTAGCACGTATTAAACTACCAAAATTAAGCATCTCTCCCGAGGTTCGCGAGGGCTCTCAGCAAGGCACGGCTTAGACGCTTCTCCCTCATCTTCCGCGGCGCTCAGCAGAGCGGCTGCGAGCTTTAACAGCAGGGCAACAGCGTAATGCCAAGCGGATTACTTTAAGATCCGTATCAAGCCGAGAAAATAAACATTTCCACGACGGATCTGAATATAAGTGCTTCACCCTCCTCCTCCTCCTCCTCCCGCTCCTCGTTCCAAAGTCATCTCCCTGCCATCTGCAAGGAGGACGCCGTCTCCCGGGGCCGGCGGCCGAGGGACGGGGCCCGCAGCGGGGTTTGTGAGCCATAACCCCGCACCAAGTTTCGTCCCCAGCCCCGCCGCGACCCCGATGCCCGAGAGCGGCCGGACCCCGCTCCGTCCGTCCGGCACCGGCACCACCTCCATGCCTCCCTCCCTCGCTGCTCCTCTCGGGTCCCCGCTCCATCCCCGCCCGCTCCCCTCCGCCGCCGGGACCCCGCAACGGCCGCACCGCTCGCCCCGTCACGCACCGGGACCTCCCACCCTTTACTCCTCCGTCCCTCCCCGCTCCTCTCAGCCACCAGGACCTCCTATCCATCCTTCCCTGCTCCCCTCGGGCACCGGGATCCCCCCCCCGCCGTCTCCAGCAGCCGCGCCGCGCACTCGGCCGGCGGGAAGGCGCCAAGCTCCACGCGCCCCCTCGCGCCCCCCTCCTGCTCCGAGCGCTCCCCCGTAGCGCGGAGCCGCGACCGGCGCTGAGCCGGAGGCTGGGAGAGGGCAGCCCCCGCCGCTCCGGGACCGCCGCGCTTCTTCCCCCCTCCCCGGAGCCCCTGCCCAGCGCTCACCCCAGCACCACCAGCTCCCCGTACTTGACGGGCTCCTTGTTCAGCGCGCACAGCTCCTCCTGGCTGGGGGAAAACATGGGGCCGCCGCTGTGATAGCACCGGCCGCCCCCGTCCCAGCCGCCGCCGTGGAGGGAGCGTCCCGAGCGGGCTCCGCTCCGCTCTGCGCCGCTGGCCACCGGCAACGGCCACTACACCGCGGGGGGCGCAGGGGGCGGAGCCACCGGGGGGACGGACCAACCCACCGCGCCGGGGGGGGGGCGGGAGGAGCGAAACGGCACCATCCCCCCCCGCCGGGCTGCGAGTGGCCCCGCCCTCCCGGCGCCCATTAACTGTCGGCGGACGGGGCGGGGCTGAGCGCGGGTGCGCTCCGCCCCCTCCCGCGCGCCGCGCCCCCCCCCGGCACGGGCAGCAGTGGTACGGCCCGGCCGTGTTATGTAAACATAGAGTAAAGGGGACCCGGCCGCTCTTAAAGGGACCACGCACACGCGGCTCGGGGGCCGGGGTCACCGAGGGGTCCCGAGCGGGGGGCTCTGGGTCACCTCACCTGGGTTCCTTATCACCTGCGGGGCTCCAGATCCCCTCCTGCCCCGGGGCGTGCCCAGATGCACGGGGTGTCTCTAGGTTTGGGTCACTGCGGGGCTGCGTCTCCTCCTCTGCGGGATGGGGGTTCCGAACCAGCTCGCCGTCGCTATGGAGGTCTGTGGGGAGCTCCCGGGTCAGCTCCTGCCCCAGAGGGAAGGGCTCGGCCACCAGCCAGCCCTACACCTTCCCCGGGGTGTCAGCAATGGGGCCACCATCACACCGTGCCCTTGTGGTGCTCTCCTGTCCCATCTCCTGTCTCCCATGCCTGGAGCCGGCAGGAGCCCACAGTGCAGCCTCTTCTGTCCTGTCTTCTTCTGAGGGGACAGAAATGCCCTCACCCCTTTGTTCTTCTGTGGTCCTTCAGGTCCTTCCCAACCCAACTCATTCTGTGACTTCTAAGGATTTTTTTTCTGCCTCAGCATCTCCTCCACCACCATCCCCTTCTCTCCTCCTTTGCCCTCTGCACTCGACTAAAGCCAAAACCAACAAAGATCGGCTTGATGTTAATCCATGTTGAGGACAGAAATTCTCGCTAGCTCATTAATATTTGAGGTTTCCAACCCATTATCAAAGACAAAAGCAATGGGAGCATCCACCTTTGCTGAAGAGCATCCCTGGGGCCGGCACAGTCACGCTCGGGATGCAGCTCCTCCCTCCGAAAGCTTTCCCTCTGCCAGAAATTGTATTTAGCTATTAATTTTACTGGTAATATTATTTTTCTGTCGTTCTGGTGAAGAGGTGAAATGGAAAAACACAACCAATCTCGAAGGGCTGCAAAATGGAGATCTTCCCAGGGGCCGTGTGAAGAAGACAAGATTTTATTGAAGACAGGGAGCTGAATTATTACAGATTTATCTTCTTTATTGCTCTAACAAAATAGAAAAGAAAGCCGGGCTGTAAGTCACTGTCAAAGGAAACAAATACATTCCCAAAAACAGTGTGGAAAACAAAGCTCCCAGCGGCATCCTCTTCAACTTCTGCATTTCTCTCCTGAAATCAAGACCTTCGCAGCAGCCTGGCTTTCACATGACATTAACAAACTCCAATACTCTTCCAAAAAATGCTCCTGAGTAGCTCAGCTCAGATGGGCTTCCACAAACCAGTGATGTGTCTGGACTTAGAGTAAAAAAAATCAGCATCCTTCATTCATAAGTGCAACCAGCAAAGGGAAATAGAAATTTGCGAGAACTGAAGTTGGGTGTTCATGCAAATTTCTGTTCAAAGTTTAAACTTTTCCCCCTGAATTTCGTTTTAAACCCCGAAAATTTTAATTAGACAGAAATATCCCTGTCTTGAGCACTTGCTATGAATGTGCCCTTGAACAAATCCTTCTTTCTCCTTTCAAGAAGGTAATATGCTGATTATATTATAAAGCATTGACAGTTCTCTCCTATATTTGTATTCTTCTTCTCCATTCTCACTCTCTCTCTCTTTCTTTCTCCACATAGATATATAATATATATATCTATACATACAAACACAGCAATGTGTATATTTGTGTATCCACCTATCTGTATATAGCATGGATATACCTTAGGAACTGCCTATCCTTCTACCTGACTGTAGTGGTAGATGTTTGTTTGAACTCAGATGATAATATCCCACTGCTTTTACACAACAGAAAACTGAAACTGTTATTTGCACTGAAAGCAATACACTCCAAAAGAGCTGCTGGTCATGGCTAAATATGAATCTTACTTTTGCTGTAGATTTGATGGTTGCCTTATATTTAAGATATTTTTACTGTTCCCACCTGGGGATGGAGGGATGAGGAAGGACCTTGGAGGTCTGATTTTGCCCCCTTTTTCCACTTCCTCATTTTCTAGCACTGCTCTTTTTGGAAAACAGGTGGAACTTGGGCAGCTCTACACCCTTTTCCCAAACCTGCACGTTTTTTTCCTGGCACACAAACCAGTGCATTTGCTGTCCTTAAACACAGAAGTGACTCCCACTCCATAACTACAGAAAATGCACTGGTTTGCACTGCTGAAAGAAGTTATTAAATACAGAAAATGCTCTTCTTGGCATTGCTGAAAAATGAATGTGCAGGGAAAAAAGATCCCATTGGGATTCACAGGGGAATATTTACATCAGTGGTGTTCATAGGAGGGGGATGAGCTGTGCTGGGGTGAGGGGCTCTCACCTGCCATGGAGCTGTGGTGGGAAAATGTGACATAAATCCTGAGCTTGGGCTGATCCATTACTTTTTTCCTTGGAAATGTGCTTCATTTGTCCAGTCTCTTCATTCTGCCCACAGGGTGTTTGAGGCTGAGGGAAGATCAGCCCCACAAGGTGTTCTGAGGGCTGCTGAGTCTTTTCTTGCCTAATTTTAGGTTTTCTCATTTCAATTCCCAAGGACCACTAGCTGCCAGCACTGGAAACCTGCTTAGAATTGTTTAATATTTAAAATTTCTATGTTTTGGCTAATGAAGAAGAGCCAGGAGGAGGCAGCAGCTCTGTCATACATTACACAGCTCCCTGTCCCACACAGATCCCAGCCTCTCTATTTCTCCCAGCTCCAAAAAAACTTTGCAACTGGTACGAGCAACACTTGGCTGGCATTTCCCCCCAAACCCATTGAAATAATTGAAAAATAAACTCACAGCTGCACTCTGCTACTTCTCAGTTCAAAACATCTTTCCTTTTCTGATTTGGGATGTCTCAGGGTGGCTTTTAAGGGTGGCAAAGGGAGGTTTTGTTGTTTTCCAACCATAAAAACCTAAAAGTGGGAGTCACAGGTAACTTGGAGCTCCTTCTAGGCTGTATCAACACTGAAAGAGGGATTTTGCTCCCAGGTTTAGCACGAGCAGCTGCTTGGCTGGATGGAGGAATATCCAGCCAAGCCAGGCAAGCATTAAAAATCAATGTTTGAAAAAAAATCCCAAACATGAAGAAATAGTACATGCCCATTTATTTTTAAAATGCAATAAAAAGTTATTTTAAATGCAGGAAGATTAATAATGCTCTAATTCAGCAAAGTACTTCCAGATGTGCTGGACTCTGAGTGTACTTCAGTGCTTTTATGAATCAGGGCTTAGGGAATGGGCTTCCAAAGTACTGAAAGAGGTTTTTAAAGTAAAAGAGGGGAGATTTAGATGGGATATTGGGAAGGAATTCTTCCCTGTGAGGGTGGTGGGGCCCTGGCACAGGGTCCCCAGAGAAGCTGTGGCTGTCCCTGGATCCCTGGAAGTGTTCAGGCCAGGTTGGACAGGGCTTGGAGCAGCCTGGGACAGTGGAAGGTGTCCCTGCCCATGGCAGGGGCTGGAATGAGATGGGATTTAAGGTTCTTTCCAACCCAAACCATCCTGGGATCCTCTGAGTCTAAAGAGCCCCTGAACCACACCTGCACCTCACACTGCTCATGGAAATCCTGGCACTTGTGGTCAGAGCACAAACAGGGATCAAGGTTTCCATTCCTATTCCATTGTCACTGTTCATGGAGAGGTTTCCAGGACTGGGATCAGGTTTATGTTCAGCCATCAGTGGGGATGGTTGGAGCTGGGAAAATTAAACTCTGGAGTCACAACAGCCTGCATTTAGTGCTCCAGGGAGGAGAATAAACCCCAAGAAAGAAGAAAAACTCTCTCAGCTCTAAGGTTAGGATCAAACAGATATCACCTGGGTGGGTGATACCTTTCAGGCTGGAAAGTCTCCAGCTGGCAGGTGAGTGAGGCTCTCAAGCAGCCACCAAGTAGAAATAGCAGGAGAAAGAGCAGCAGATGTTTTAAAAATAGATTTCATAAATAAATTACAGGAAAAATAAGATGCAATACCAAGATGAGCATGTTTGGGGAAACCTCTGAGTCCATGTTTCAGGGGTTCAGTGCCTCACTTAGGTCAGGCTAAAATAGATTTCCTTTTCCTTACTCCATTTGAGAACCTCTCCTATTGTCCTAATTTTCCACCACAGCATGTAATGGTCTTGATTCATAATACCACCTAAAATTTAGAGGGGAGAATTGCATTAAAACATAAGTGGAAGAGCTAAAAGGATAAAATACATTCAAATACCCTGGCAGCAGCTTAAAGATATGGTACAGGCTCCAGCTTAATATGTAACACTCCTTAATAAAGACCCTAAAGGAATTTTTAAAAGCAAAGAAGTTAAGTAGCAGAGTGGGGAAGGCTATTAGGAACAAAAAAGATAGCTGTCAAAAATGAGGGAAATGGAATATAGCACAAATATAAAACCACAGCAAGGCAAGTGCAGAAGATATTTCAAAGCAGTTTACCAGAGGCATAAAAATGCTCATAAAAACATAGCAGAGACTGAAAGTCAACCAGGGACTCACTGGGACCAGCAAGCAGTGAAAGTGAGAAGTTTGGGGTGAAATAAAACACTGGTGGGTCGAGTAAATGAGCTCCCCATATGTGTGGGCTTGAGACTCCCACAGAAAAACCCTCCTTTTCTGCAGTGGCTCTGATGAGCTTCTTAAATATAAGTATCACCAAGAAAATTTTGGAATAAAGAGATAAATTGACAGAGAAGCAAATTTCCAGAGTGAGATGTCACTGG